GTTGTTTGCGCTTGTGGAAAGTTCTGCTCAAGTCTTGGCTATTGAACAGCGAAAATCGCAGGTCTCTATCTCATTCCTATCAAAAGTTATTCAAAAAGCAACCAGCGGTCTGACCATTTGGAACGGAATTTGGTGCTCAAAGTAAATACTATCTTTCACTTCAGTAACAGAGTCAGATGACCGAGACGATTACCTTCGCATGATGTATTTTTTTCCATTGCTCACTTTTTCCCCTTCATGATACATGTCATGTTGAAATATGAGTACCATTCCTATACATCAAATAACGATGAGAGGCAACTAAAATCCAACTATGTTTTCCACTTATTTACCAGTTTGCGGTTTGAGTGCTTTGAGACATACATGTGTGCCATCAGCCTGCTTTCGTTTTTCATCTAAAAAATTTGTATTTCCACCATCAAATTCGTCATTCAAATATACCATTATTGTCAGTTGACTTTGCTCCATAAAGTCTCGTTTGAAAACACCATCGAAATGAGGAGAAAAATGTTGACCCGGCTCATATCTGAAAGAAGGAGTCCCAATAAAACATAGTAGAGAAATAGTACATAATTACTTGCAGAATCGTATTTGTTCATTAATTACACCGAGATCCCAATGCGAAGTATTTTCATGTCCCGGCCATTTTTGAGGAAGATATTCTAAATTCATTTTGATATCTACAGCAAGATTCTTGTACGTTGTTTACCACTTACGTTTTACTCGTAGAAACAATTCGTTCGCCAAATTTTCTTGTTGAATTAGTGTTCTTTTGAAAAATGAACAAACACTTTATCCAGATTCAAATAGTAAGCAATCGTACCTAGTATTCGATCGAAACTCTTTGATAATAAACTCAATTTCGGCGAATCCTATTTTCTCCATAGCGTTTATCAAATAATCACATTCCTCTTTAGATAAAACATTATATAAAACAAAGCAAACTGCTTTCGACTCTGGAAATACATCAGTCTGAAAATATACCTTGTTTTAAGTGGGGGTAAACTTGAGAATTAGCATTTATACTTTAATAATTTTTTCCTGTATTAATTCGTTGTTATCGTGAAAATTTTGTAAAAACACGTGCCATTCGGTTTCGTTACCCATTTAAAGTAGTAAATGTATCAGCATAAAATATGTTGGACGTGAAGAATAAATATGTTTCTTTTACACAATTCTTTCGTTGCTTTTTCCTATACGTCATATCTTGCACAACTGCATAGTAAATTTTTACCTTTCTGTTAGTAATGGTTGACTAGAGAAGCGACACAAGTGAGTAATCGTTCCTGTTCAGTGTTATTTTAAGTTTTCCAGCTTATGCTTCTTCCAAGAAGATATATAAAAAAGATAATGAAAAAATCTTTCTTGTATGTCACATTTATACTTGAGATGTCAAAACAGTTAATTGACGGGCACTGAGTTTATATCTTAGAGATGGACGTCGGGACCAAAATTTTTTTTCTGGTCCCAGTAAAGAGGGTTGTCTACTCTAGGTAGGGAATGATATTCAGATCCGAGAAATCCTACAAGTCCCCATCTACCCCTCATACACACGTATATCTATACATCTATATATATGTGGGCATATATATACATATACACATCCATATAAATATATATGTATATATACATATTCCAGGATATACACATATATATATACATATATATCTATATATGTATATATCTAATGCTATGAGGATTTCAAGATTTC